AATTGCTGAGAATCACGAGTTTCTTGGCACCAGTTTTTCTCAACCTGAGAGAATGGCATGCTGGCCAGACGTGATGGAAATCGTAGTTCTGAAGATCTGTAGATTGGAGAAGGCAGTTATATATCGGAACTGGAAAAGCTAATAAAATGCTAGTCTAATAACGCCATTTTAAAAATCCAGTGGAAAATGCTGCTTCATTAATTCCTAAACTGGGGTCTCCATGTGTTATTAAGCTGCATTTCCCAGAATCCTTCACTGCTGATCATGATGACTGAGGTTCTGGGAACGGACGTCCAGCAACAGGTGGGAATCCCCCCCCACAAGAATCCTCATGCGGTTAATGCAAAGGAAACGAAGCAATGTCTCCCTTTGCTGGCAGTAAAAGAAATAACCTTTCTTTAGTGTTGCTCAATACAGACTAATGAACATGCCCAGCTTTTCAGAGGTGGCAGGTTAATGGATTTAGGAGGTTAGTCCAAACTCTGTGAGTCAGTTGATGTGTTTAAATGAACATCTCTGCCTACAAAGTAGAGGAAGATTGTTACATTTCATTATTCTTGCCTACCTTAATTTTAATTTAGCCATAATTAGCTTAATGTGAAGTGGAGCACTTTTTCCCCTGGGGTGGTGGTAAAAGACAAGAAAGAGCATTCATAGAATTGGAAAATACAAAATTATAAATCAAGTTCAAGTTAGTTGCTTTCTCTTTCCTCCTCCCCCCCCCCCTTTTGGCACACTGGCAAGAAAAACTTAGGATTGTTCTAAATGTTCCAGAGCTGCCATTAAAATTTAACTGTTCAGAAAGCTACATCAACTGCGCAAAAATAGCCTTTCCCTTCAAGACTGGAATGTGCCTTATCGTTTTCTGGGCATTTTTCCCCCATGACATCAACACATAGTTATTAGTCAATGTCGGTCAAGAAGCCAGTTGATGTTCTTCAGAGCAAGATTTTTGGGTCTGGTTTGTCACTGAGAGATGGTGGTGGTGAACAAATGTGATTTCCATTTCTCAGAGTCATCATTTTCTAAATTTTGTGTTTGTGTCTGTATGCCTGTGTGTGTGGTCCCAACAGTCATAGCTTTGTATCTAATGCTAATTAATGGTTCTCAGGAATCTCTTTTCTTCTTTTAATAGATCATTCAGATTTGAAACTTGCCCACCACCGGCTTAAGTACAGCTACATATTGTGTTCCATGATGTCTACATCAGCCATTCTCAATTGGGGGGGGGGCATATAGGGTGGTGGAAAAGGAAAAGGAAAGAAGGAAATTACCCCAGAGCAAGTCAAGGTGACATCGCTGAATTTTGATGATAGGCCTGCCAACTGTTGGGTGCAACATGGCTGGTCACCAACAAATTCCTTTTCTAGGGTTGGAATTCAGAGAATCGAACATCCAAATATGTGTGTCTAGGAGGTGTAGTTCCCTTCGAAAAGGAACTTTCTTAGGTTCTATCAGCTAGATGCTGCCCCAAACAGTTCACTTGTGATGAAATGTGCTCCCCCACCAAGAAAAGTATTGCTCACCCTGATGTACAAAATGTTTTTAAAAATTCTAGTATGAGAATCATGTTCAATAAGAAAATTTACTTATGTCAGAGATCTTTGTGGTCAGCCTGTTCTGAACTACATTCATTCATTCTTGATTCTGTATTGCTAGCTTCAGATCTTCAAGTTGCTGACTAGTGCTGACTGTATCTTGAGTTACAGAACCAAAGGTCATGAATTCAATTCCCCAGTGTACCCCCTAGGAGAACAGCCAGCCTGTGTAGCCTTGGGCCAACTGCATAGACTTCTAGGGCATCCCAAGAAGAGGAGAGTGGTAAACTGCCCTTAGTACTCTATACCTAGAAAACCCTGGGAAAGGTCACCAAAGGTCAGCACTGAATTCATTATGTATTGTTGTTGTTAAACAATACCAGGCAGTCAATCAAACTTATAAAAATTTTAACTGATGTTACTAAAGATCAGCATTGACTTCATTATGTATTGTTGTTGTTGTTAAAAAATACCAGGCACAGTCAATCAAACTTATAAAAATTTTAACTGATGTTATGTAACAGATATAGGTTTTAATCAAAAACCTAAGTATTTGTTAAACACTGATGTAGTATATATGCTATTCCTAATATTGCCATTTTTTTTCCTGATAGCTCCGGTGGTGTTATTTCTGAGATCTGCTATTGACTATAATACTGTGTGAAATTCCATGTTATTGTTCCCAAAGCCCCAAGGATGGGGAGCGCTGAAGTGTGTTTCATCCACAAGCAAAATGTTTCAATTGCTAGAGCTCTGTATTTTGCTATTTTTTCCGATTCTTTATCTTCTGGGATTTCCAGATCTAATCTGAAAGACACCTTGAACATAACACACCAGATATAGTAGTAATTGAACAAAGTAATGTCTGGATCATTGACATTGCAATTCTAAGGGATGCCAGAGCTGAAGATAAAGGATGATGAACTTACTCTTCAAATAAATTAATGCTATGGGCCATTAAGTTGCTCCTACTTTATGACATCTCTATATATTTATGAACAGTTAGCAGCCCTGTTCAAGTCTTGCAAATTAAACCAACTGAAGGCCATGACTTCCTTTATTGAATCTATTCACCCCACATTTGGTTTTCCTCTTTTCCTAGCATTACTAACTTCTCCAGTGAGTCTTGTCTTCTCAAATATCTCCAAAGTACAATAACCTCAGTTTAGTCATTCTAGATCCTAGTCAGTATTCTAGCTTGATTTGATCTACAATCCATTTGGTATCTTAAAAATACTCTGAAATGGTCTACTGTTCTCTTCTTCTGATGGGGCACTCTTGAGAACTGTGCAGCTTGCCCAAAGCTACACAGACTGGCTATCAACTCCCGACCCCTGGCTCCACAGACAGGTATTCCAACTCACTAAAGAAAGGGATACACAGTGATCAAAATTAGTTTGGGACACATCACTACTAAGCAATAAAAAGCACTAATGACTCCTAGTTAACACATAATGTGATGGGTTCTCTGTTGTTGAGTTGGAACCAAAATTATAGCAACCTTAATAGGGCTTTTCAGCTGAGATATTTAAGGAGTGGTTTTACCAACTCCACTCCCCCAGTAGATTTCCATGGCCAAGCAAGGATTTGAACCAGAGTGTCCTCAGTCCTAGTCCATCACTCTATCCACCATATTACATTGATCTCTAATACATAATAGTTTGATATTTTCAGCAATGAACCTATTTTCCATACTAGCAGCTAAAGTGTGAGGATTTCTTCCTTGTTAAGCAAGTGAAGGTGTTAAGTTCTCTCCTGCTGTGCTCTAACCAGGGTACTTGCAAAATACTATGTGAATTTATCTGTACTTACAGTATTTTACCCCCTCATGGATTGCTGCCTTGTTGTGGCGAAGGGGCTTGAGTAACTCAGTGAAGCTATGGGCTATGCTGTGCAGTGACACCCAAGATGGACAGGTCATAGTGGAGAGTTCCGACTAAACACAATCCACCTGGAGCAGGCAGTGGCAAGCCACTTCAGTATCTTTGCCAAGAAAGCCCTATGACCAGAAACAAAAGGCTAAAAGATATGACACTGGAAGATGGGACCCTCGGGTCGGAAGGCATCAACATTCTACTGAGGAAGAGCAGAGGACAAGTACAGGTAGCTCCAGAGCTAATTAAGTGGTTGGGCCAAAGCCGAAAGGACGCTCAGCTGTGGATGTGCCTGGAAGTGAAAGGAAAGTCCGATGCTGCAAAGAAAAATACAGTGTCATCGAAGCGACCAACATGAATTTAACCCAACTCCGGGAGGCAGTGGAAGACAGGAGGGCCTGACGTGCTCCGGGCTATGGGGTCACGAAGAGTCGGACACGACTAAACAACAACAACAACAGTATTTTAAAGCAGAGCTGGGTAAAATGGAGTCTGCAAGTGCATGCAGCCTCCCACTGCACTTACAAAACTGAATGTTTTGCTCAATGAAAAAGAGTAAATGAATTCTGCGTAGGGTATAACACCACCACCTCCAGCCCTGCCCACCAGTAATGAGAGATTCTAGCTCTTATGTGGTTGAGTTCCCAAACTTCACCTGCATTACACAGTATTTATGATCTTGAACAGCAATACTGGAATTGAACCAGGAAAAGACAAATTCACATTTCCTAAGAAATATGACTGGCTGGATAACTCACTGGTTTGGGTATTTGGCTGCAGAGCCAGAAGTTGGGAGCTCTATTCCCCGCTGTGCCTTGAGCCAGCCTGTGTGGCCTTGGGCAAGCTGCACAGCCCCAGGATAGGGAGCTCAATTCCCCACTGTGCCTTGAGCCAGCCTGTGTGGCCCTGGGCAAGCTGCACAGCCCCAGGATGCCCCCAGAAGAAGGTAAGGATAAACCACTTCTGATTATTCTCTATTTGGAAAACCGTAGACCACTTCTGATTATTCTCTATCTGGAAAACCCTTTTTAAAAAAGAGTTAACTTGACAGTACATAATTATGATTAAGAAACATGGGGGAGTATTTCATGGTTGAAATCTGCAAAATGTTTAAAAAAAAAGAGTTAACTTGACAGTACATGACTATGATTAAGAAACATGGAGAGTATTTCATGGTTGAAATCTGCAAAATGCAGCACAGAGATTCATACAGAGAGATACTTTAAGTAGTCACCTTTTCAATCTGACCTACATTTCAGGTGCTATATAAGGGAAGTGTCCTCTGCATTGTATTCCTAGGAAGAGGTGGGATACATGAACGGAAATAACATTAAGTGCAATTAACACCATGATCCTATAATGGAGCCAATAAAGTAGCTGGGGCCAAAGGTTAAGAGGGTTGTAATCTTAGTCTACTACCACCCCTTAAGAGCCAGAGGCTTATTTACAGAGCAATCCTATTGAGAGGTGAGAATTCCATGGCAAAACACCCATATCTGTGCCAGATTGCTGTGAGAAGTGTGCAGGACAAGCGGAATTTTAACTTCGAACTGCTTTTTCAAAAAGCAAACAGAAAGCAACGCGGCACTACATTTGTCAGGCCAAACAATGGTTTATTTCATTTTCTCTGTGACATTTCAGCCATCAAAAAAATAAACTCTAACACATATGGATGGAAGACTTTCTACAAGTGTTACTAAGTGGGAATTTCTCTGTTGACGCCAAGATTTTCGACTGGAGCGTCTCTCTCGTCTTGTTTATTATTCACCCAATAAGTTAGGAAGAAGCATGGGAAGTGGGGGGTGCCGGGATCTTAAAGTGCTTTTATCATTTCTGAGCTGGAATGAGGTCATCAATGCACTGGCCCTTTTCAAGGCGTTTCTCCATTTCAATCAGCAGCTTCACCCCGTCAACCACCATCTGTACCAACTCCACCTCAGAGAAACCAAGACGGTCAGCGTTGGAGACGTCAAACACTCCTCCCACAGCAGCTGTGTCCACACCACCTAAAACACACAGACACACATGTAAGGAAGACAAGTCAAAATGAGAGGGAGAGGTTTCCACATACAATTTGTGATAAGCAAGGACAGCTAATAGATCACTGAATTAGAACTAGAGATCAGGGTTCAAATCCCAATGCAGTCCAGATAGTCACTGGGCAGACATTGTGGTATCTTACCATCAGTGGAACACCACTGGCAAATCAACCTCTCCCTCTTGCCTGTGTACACCACCCCTGCCTCATTTATTTATTTCATTATGACATCCATAAGTCTTTCTTCGAAGGAGCTCGACATTACATATATCTATCATGCCAGACATGCTGAGGAGATCTGGCAACTGAAATACAGCCTAACCACAACATGTTTTTGAAGTGAGCTCATCTATATCTACACAGAGGGACGTGGTGGCACGAGGGATGTGGTGGCGCTGCGGGCTAAACCACAGAAGCCTTTGCTGCAGGGTCAAAAGACCAAGCAGTCGTAAGATCGAATCCACGCAACGGAGTGAGCGCCCGTCGCTTGTCCCAGCTCCTGCCCACCTAGCAGTTCGAAAGCATGCAAATGCAAGTAGATAAATAGGGACCACCTTGGTGGGAAGGTAACAGCGTTCCGTGTCTAAGTCGCACTGGCCACGTGACCACGGAAGATTGTCTTTGGACAAAACGCTGGCTCTATGGCTTGGAAACGGGGATGAGCACCGCCCCCTAGGGTCGAACACGACTGGACAGAAATTGTCATGGGGATCCTTTACCTTTACCATCTACACCTTACTATTAATTTATTATTAGTGATGTTCATATCCTACCTTCCTCTGAAATGTTCAAGGAAGCCATACGTGGCTTCTCCTTCCCAAAACAACCTTGTGAGGTAAGCGAGACTGCTAGAGAGTTCAAGAGTAGCCTATTGGTTTCTTAGCATTGTGGGGATTTGAACCCAGATCACTAAAGTCCCAGTCCAACATTTCCATTTATGACAACAGACCGACTCTTACACACCAGTGAAACAACCGTTCTATGTCCCCATTTAACCACAGAACTCTCAGATGACCTTGGGCCAATCACATATCTTAGCCTATCCCACTTTAATAATAATTATGTGTGCCATCGTGTCAAGCCTCAATTATGGCAACCCTTGTCAGGGTTTCACACCTTTTGACCACACAAAGCCAATAATACTAATTCTTTGCAAAGTAGTAAACTGCAGGCCAGGTGGTCGGTCAAACATAAAGCAGAGACACAAAAGAATTGTCGGCTTTTGCAGTAACTGCCTGATCAAAGGTCCTCTGAAACTCCTGCCAGAGGCTTGTCCCCTTCCAAATCTGCTCTGCCAAGGAAAAGCCAAAATAGTGGCTAGAAAGCCACTAGGGTGGAACGGTTAGAATACTCGATGACGGAAAGATTCAGGATAGCGTCTCCACTGAGCCTGAGACTCATTGGGTGACCTTGGCTGAGTTAATCTCCCTAATCCTAGCCCAGCTCACAGGTTTGATTTGAGGATAAAGAGGGGAGGAGACCCATCTATAGCTCTTTAAGCTCACGGGAAGAAAGACAAGGTATAGAGGTAACCAACCTACAAAGAAGGAGTTCTAAATTCTGGATGCAAATCGTATGGTTCAGCTATTCAAAAGTGCCAGCAAATCCCTACCTTTCAGTACCTCCTGCACAAAACCAAATAAATCCTAAGCTTCGTCCCATGACAATTCACAACCCTCACCTTGGCAACTCCCCTCTCAAATCAAGGATGTATTTGCAGTCAGCTGCCCAACACTGCATATTGACTACCCTAAAATAAAAGCATATGTATTTATGGCAGTTCCTTCTCTGTGCTGAACAGGCTGGCTCATCTTGGCCCGACTGACCCAGGAAATGGTCCAATGCCATTGCCTGAGTAAGAACTTTATTTCTTGACCATCTTCAGAGCTAGCAGAGTAACTGTGCAACCTAGGCACATAGCATGAAGCAGCAAGGAGGAGAGTGTGGGTTTTTTCTTAATTAAGGATGATGCCCAAGCAAGGCTGACCCTATCACTAGGGTGTGGCTGTCACTTCAGGCAGCAGTTGCTAGGGAGCAGGAAAAGGGTGCTGCAGGACCTAGGTGCATGTTACAAAGCCCACTCCGTACCGTCTAAGTTCAACTGCTGCCTTCAGGTGTGCTGTTGAGGGATGTCCCATATGAGCAGGACTGAAGGAAAAAAGTAGCTTTCATAAACTGGGGAAATGGGGCATGGTACCATCTTGTTCTTTGGCTCAGGGAACAAAACATCTTGGGTCAGTCTTAGACTCACAGCCCAGTGCCCTCTGTACAGTGGTGCCTCGATTAAAGGGCGCTCCGTTTAGCGATGAAATCGCTTATTTGGGTCAGTCTTAGACTCCCAGCCTAGTGCCCTCTGTACAGTGGCGCCTCACTTAATGGGTGCTTCGTTTAGCGATGAAATCGCTTATCGATGACTTTTTTGGAGTGTTTTTGAGCTTCGTTTAGTGATCGTCCTTATGGGCGATCTTCGCTTAGCGATGGTTGGGACCATGCTTTGTATAGCGATTAAATTTTGGGTCCCCTGTTTCGCTTAACGATGGTTTAAACAGCCTCATGTTTGCTGTTTTTTAAATGTTTTTCTGTTATTTATAAAGTTAAAGTTTACTGTTTAAAATGTTTGAAATCATAAAGTGCACTTAATAAACGCTTTGTTAACCAATTTTGTCTTTGTTCTGACTCTTTTTTTAATTTGTTGCTGTATTTTTTCCCTCATTGAGATGCACTGAATAGGTTTCAATACATTTCAATTGGGGAACCGCGTTTCGCTTAGCAATGTTTCCTATGGTGATTTTCGCTTAAGGACGGCAATTCATTCCTATTGGAACGGATTATCCGGTTTTCAATGCATTTCAATGGGAAACCGCGTTTCGCTTAGCGATGAAATCGCTTAGCAGCAATTTTTTTCGGAATGAATTAACATCGCTAAGCGAGGCACCACTGTACTTGCTAAACATCTTGGTTTATGCCCATTCAGACTGAGAATAATGCTTGAATGCTTCCGTTAAAAAAAAACCACCCACAAAATTTGCATATGAAAAGTTAAGATTATGCAGTGAAGGGTTTCAGATTTGACATCTTCCCAAAACTTATTTGGCATCAGAAAAAATACTTTTTTATTTTTATTCACTGATTCAACCACTTTTTAAAATGTATCCAGGCCTTTTGACTTCCTTAGTTTTTATACAGAGGCATTTTTAAAGGCCTGACGCCGTGTTTATGTTCATTGTTCATTCTGAAGTGCTTCCCTTGCAATGTCTGTGGTTTTATTGTACCTTGACTGAAAAGAACATGTCATCTATTTAAAAGGGAAAAGCAAAGATGGCAGGCTTCAGCTTCTCACCTGTGCCACGTTTCTGGAGCCTCAGTCTCTTGAGGATCTCACCAAATTTCTCATGCTTGCCAAGATTGGGCAGTTTAATGTGGACACCTGCACGGAGACCCGTGCCGAGATTGGATGGGCAGGTCAAGATGTAGCCAAGGTGGGAGTTCCACATGAATTCATAATTTTTGGATTTGAAGAGGTTTTCAATCTAGGCAGAAAGAAATGTCATTAGGAGGAGTTCTCAGGAGAGAACAGTCATACATTTACTTTGTACCTGCATAATGAAAGCACGTGAGGTCCATCTTTGCCCAGATAATGTGCAGTAAAGACCTGATGTTCACATTACAAAATCAGAATATATCTGTAAGATGCTCGCAGAGAACAGTCTGAATGCAGTGGTTAAATGATAGTAATGCAGTCAAGACTCTCCTCATGTCATCAGTTCTATCTTGGCAAGCTCTCTGAATGCAGTGGTTAAATGACACTACTGCAGTCAAGACTCATGTCATCAGTTCTATCTTGGCAAGCTCAGGGAGATGGCTCAGGGATGACTCAGCTTTCCATCCTTTCAAGGCTGGTAATCTGAGTATCCAGCTCGCTGGGGTGTGCAATGTATACCATCCACAACCAAACTGTAAATTGCCCAGAGAGAACTTTAAGCACTACGGGGTGGTTTATAAGCAACACACATTACGTCACTTTGCTTTCCCAATTTGAGAATTCCCTAATGCTTTTGATTGTGAATATGCATTTTGATGGGAGACATAGAATTTCGAGGCAGATATACTGTTCTCACCATTTAAGAGACAAGGTATAAATAGGCTGGAATCTCCATCAAAGGAATGCAGCAACTGAGGAATCATAAGCGACCACAATTTGGAGTTTTGACTTCTCTCTCTCTCTCTCTCTCTCTCTCTGAGGGAGCACAATTTGGATTTTTGACTTCTCTCTCTCTCACACACACACACTCACACACACAAAACAGTAATTAGAAAATTATGCCACATACAACTTTCTACAGCAGCTGACTGCCCCACTGTAGCATAAATTGCTAAAAAAAGAGAGAAGGTGTCAGAAACTGAACACCAGTGGCCATGTCTTATTGCTTGTCTAAAACAGAGCAGGCCCACTGATACACTGAGATTAAGTGTGGATTGTGCCATTGAATGGATAATTCAATTGAGTGTATTCTCATCTGGAACTAGAAACGGGTCCACTGTCCAAGGCGTGCAGGGCATTTGATTTCCTAGCCTAACTAGCACTCCCACAAGATAATGTTTTGGAGATGGTTCATTCATAAGGTCACAATGAGTCAGAGGAAACTCGACAGTGCCTAAAAACAACAGGATTACCACTGCGCCTCAAGCTAAGGCATCCATATATGTGCCACTTCTGAAGCAGCGTACACCTGCCCAATCCTTGGGGCTAGATTAAAACACAAGAACCTGCCTCATGTTGTGTAGGAACCAGTGCCTTGTCTAGCCCCATACGGCCAACTCCTGACTGGCACCAAGTCTACCAGGTAGCCTGGCTTTGCTCCGATTTGCTAGACAACTGGGACCAGGCAGCTACAGAAACTTGCTACTGAGGGGCTCAACGCACCTCATTAAAAAAGTAAAATAAGAAGTCTGTTACATAACATTTGAAATTAAGTAACCTCTTATAATGTTTTGATTTGGTATTCAGAAGAATAATTCTAATTGGATGCCATCAGGTCAACTCTGACTTATAGCAACCTTTCCAAGATTCTCTAGAACTGAGAAGTGGTTCATCTTTCTCCTCTTCCTTCTGGGGGGTACTCTAGGACCATTTTGCCTCCACAAGGCTGCACGTTCTGGCTCTTCTTCTACAAGGCACAGTGGGGAATTGAACCCCTGGCCCCTATTCTCCACAGGCAGGCGCTCAAGATCACTACACTGCAGGTCCCTCAAAATCTGAAATCCAGAACATCGCTTGCATGTAAATCCAGCTCTGCAGCTAACGGTCACATTGTGTTGTTTTAGCATCCTTAGATAGGGTGGAGGACAGTTGTGCAAGCATGCAAAGTTGTCAACACTCTCCTCCTTAGCTGTCCTTCGTGGGAAATGGGTTCCCCCAGGGCTAGGGCCAAAACTTTCAATTCTCTCTTCCTTCAAAGAAAAGGGAAGGTTCTCATATAATGGGAAGTAGATTCTGGCATCAGGGGAGGTCTGCATACATTCCTTCAAGCACACTGCGCTACATCCGCTGCCTGGACTGGGAACACACAGCCAAACAGAGGCACGTTGCTGCGTTTATTTTAGAGCCAACACTTCAGTCAGCACTTTGGATTTGAGCATTGCAGAGAAGGCTGCACCAGTTCCCTCTACCCCTGTCATTCAGGAAGCTCTCCGTTCTCCTCTCCTGCCAATCCTATTTACCTGCGTTAACCCATTACAGAAGCGGGTGAAAACTTCCTTCATATTGCCACCTTTCTGCATGGAAATAACTCTAAGGTGGTCTTCCTCGTTAATCCAGACAAGGAAAGTTTTGTTGTCATTATGCCTGAGGAGACAAAATCCAGGAAGGTGGTTGAGTAACCCATGTTTCCTTAACCCAAGCCATGAACCTAATCAAGCCCGCCACGTCAACCACACATGTATACCAATGATTGAGAAACCAAAAACAGTCACATAGCACATTTAAGATGGTTTCTAACTTTTCATAAGCTTTCAAGTGCCCACGCACGCGTCTTCAGATGAATGGAGGTTTCAGCATTTGAAACACAGTCATGGCCCACTTTACAATTGCCCCACATTACGACGCTTTTGCGAACGCAAAACGATGGTCTGAATAGGTTTTTTTCATTTTGCAATGATCGGTTCCCTGCTTCGGGAACCGATTCTTCGCAAAAACGACGATTTTCCAACAGCTGATCGGCAGTTTCAAAACGGCCACCGGGTAAATAAAATGGCTCCCCGTTGTTTTATGGGACGGATTCCTTGCAAGACAGACATCGAAAATGGCCGCCCTATGGAGGATCTTCGCTAGACGGTGAGTTTCCAGCCCATTGGAATGCACTGAAGGGGTTTCAATGCGTTTCAATGGGCTTTTTATTTTCACATTACGACGTTTTCATTCTACAGCGATTTCGCTGGAACGAATTAACATCATAATGCGAGGCACCACTGTACCTTTCCAGAGCTTGGGAAAGCTTGGAATACATCTCCCAGAATCCCCCAGTCAGTATAACCACTCACCATGCTGCTGAGGGATTCTGGGTAAATGAAGGGCAAGATGACCACTTTCCCAAAATGTACCTTTTACAGACATTGTTACTCTGTTTTGGTCCCATAAATCAACCCCACATCGTTGACTTCTGTTATCTCAAATTCAGTATTTATGTGTCCTACACATTCCCCCCACTTAATGAACAACTTTCTACAGGCAGTTTCTATCCATTTCCTGAGATACTGTGAGGAATGTCTGTGTTCCTTCATCCAGAAGGTTTTGTCAGTAAGCGAGTCACTTGACCTAGATCTAAAGCAAACTTCCTGCCCTTGACGGCTTTCCGGCTTTAACACGCAACTTCTTTTATTGTGTTAGAAGTGTTCCATGGAAACTCCTGTAATTGAGAGCAGTAAACAGATAAATAGAGTATGAATTAGGTGCCTGCTGCCGGTGGGTGGGTTTACAAATTCACATCCTGTTTACTATTGCAAGTACACTGGAGTATTACTTTGCTTATTCTGTTACTTTTTATTTTCTGTCCGTTTTCCAACTGTAGAACTGAGGCTGGTTTTTGCACGGCTGCCTCCCTTCCATGCACTGAGCAGGCCTAGCCCGTCTTAGCTTCAGCAAAGTGGCCCCATCCTGTTTCTCCAGACCGTCTCTTGGCATCCATGTCCATCTGAGTCCTACTCTCTTCAGATCCATGCTCTGCAGCCCTGCACAGGAATAGGCCAGTCCTAACAGAAGTAGTACCAGCCATGTCTGAGGTAACCAGAGAACGTTTCTTGCCCATTCCAATTCCTGTTCTCCATTGCTTCCACTCCAAATTGTGCAATTCGTCCTGGGTGTTTTTCTTTGCCAGCCTGAGGGACCGCCAATATTTCTTCATAAAGGAACCATTCTGTCCCACCCCGATTTGGAGTCACTCATCCACTGCAAGGGACCGGGCCGCCGCGGATCAGCAGATATCAGAGCTGAGAATGTTATTCTCAAAATGGAAGCTCTTTTCTTGCTCATTGCAGGTCCAAAAGACCAACTCACTGAGCTTTGCTCAGTGGGACGACGGTGAAAGTCGTATCTCTTTCTCTTTGCTGCCTCGAGGAACATTTCCTATCACATTGTTCTACTCTAGTTCAGAACGACCCAACCAGCAGCAGACACGTATCTGCACTGGTCTCAGGGAGGTCCTACACTACTGTAGTGTAGGACCTCCCTTTTCAAAACCATTCCCTCTCCCCCCACTCTGCATGGTTATTCTGCAATCCTACCAAAGGACCATTTCTGCCCTTCATTAATCCAGAAAAATTAACTTGCTGCTTGCTGCATTTTACTTCTAAAGGGTGCCTGGTATGGATAGGGAATATGCTGTCTTTCAAATATTGACTATAGTTCCCATAATCCCTTAACCAAGGAACTTGCAGTCCAAGGCTCTGGGGAGTTGAAATCCAGAACATCTGAAGGTCACACCAAGTGGCAAGATTGGCAAGAACAGCTTATTATGAAACTGCAGGTCATTAAATGGATTCAATTAGCCTTGGAAGAAGAAAGAGTTTTATTCCCTTGGCAATTACATACATTCCTGAGCTGATTTTAATTCATAATGGCTGAAATCCTCTTGCTTTGCATAGCAAGTCATGCTCAAGTAGGCCCACTGAATCAGTGAGGATTTGCTGAACCAGCCCCTCTGTCAGTTCTATTGATTCAATGGGGCTACTCTAATTGAAATTTAGTTAAGAGGCATCTCATTTGAATCAGTGAAACTGATGGAGAAGTTGACTCACCCAATCTCCACTGATTCAGTGGGGCTACTCTAGTCAATTTACTATGCTAAGCAAAAGGATATTGGCCTATGATATGACAAACGAATGATCTGCTGTAAAATTTTAATGTGGATTCGATTTTATCCAGTTCTCAGTTTAATTATTTTTCCTTTGCTTATCTTCTGACGTTTTGAGAAAAGCCCGCTTGGCTGTATCACAGCAAGATGGAAGTGAAACAGCTTGCCAGTCCTGCTACGGAACACATGGAGGCAGTGATATCAACCACTACAGAAGATTTCAAAATCATCCAAGCATCATTTGGAGCTAAGCAACTTGGATTTGGATTGCACAGTTGAATTAGGTTTGGTCAGATCTCCATGTCCCCTTCAAATCCTTTGTGAATCTGCAGTCGCTCTTGCTTAATGTGTAGAACTAGATAGATGTAGTCTAAACTGAGTGATGGCAGATTCGGGAAGGATTAAATTAGGATGTGTAGATCTGGTCTACATCACAGAAGTGGAATTCCTAAACACATGATTTGGCTTTCCATTGCAAAACATGTCCCTTGGGTATAATTTAGAGTCTCATATTGCCTTTGTGGATTAAACTGCTGAAAAAGAACATTAAGAGGACGAACTCCAGGATTGATTTGACAACTGTTACTCAAGTATAACTTGTGCAATTAATAAGTTAGCAAAACAATGGATGTACAGCTGCCAAAGCCTTCTCTTCCCCCAAGGTTAAGTCAAGTGCCATCGGTCGACCATTACATCATTCAAATACCATTAGTGAGTCCTTACCACCAATCCTGGCCAGGTTAGTATTATTGTGTGTTACTATTGTGATGGGCATGAACTGCTCGTTTGACAGTTCTTGCTGGCTCGTTTATAACCCAAACAGGTGTTTGGGGTTTCAAAGCCCTGCTGCTTCTTGCCAACACCCACTCAGAGGCAGTGCCCAGAGGAGGCAGGGCAGGGAAGCCAGGGCACCATCTCTTAGTGGGTGCCTGCCAGAGGAGGCAGGGCATTACCAAGCCCTGCCTGCCAGAGGAGGCAGGGCTTTGAAATGCCAAACACCTGTTCAAGCAATAAACAAAGCAACACAAACCATCGAACGAGTGGTTCATGTCCATCTCTACTTTGGAACCCATGCAGAGAGACAGAAGAGCTACAACACAAGTATTTTATCCACTGGAACAGTTATCCCCCAATACCAAAGAACCTCCTGTATCATGTTATGCTGCTTCAGTAACTGATCTAGTATGGGCCAGTAGGGCATTCTTACTTCAAAATATTTAAGCATATCAAGGTCCTAAGTAAGACACTAGAAAAGTTACTTTTTCTAAACTACCACTTCCAGATTCCTTCAGCCAACAGTCTCTGTCTAAAAAGGAACTTGTCCAATATGAATTAATTTTTCCACACTCTTCAAGGTTCACAAGGTTGCTCTTCCATCTGCAACAGAAGTATTCCTTAGCAATATTCTTGATAATAACCTCTGTACCAAGATGGTACCAAGACATCCTTACGCACCAGCAAGAAACCTTTCTACTCATGCAGTGCTTCCTCCGCCCTAATACCAGAGTATTAAATGGTAGCCTTTAAAATGGATGCTACCCCACAACTGATGCACAGAGACACTTCCACATCCAGCTGGAGCTGATTTTTAACCATAACGTTTTTTAAAATACAGATGGACTACTGCTTATATTAGTTGTTATGCCAAACAGAATACACTGCCTTTCCAGAGACAGAGAATGTTCCTTGTCTGGACTACAACTCCCAGAATGCCTCACGCCACAGGGCCACACTGCTTAGGGGATTCAGAGAAAAGAAAGCAACCCTTTCCCACATCCTGCCCATTTCTCCTTGAGGGAGACATATTCAAATGTGTCATTGCTATAGGGTGTTACTCACCAAATACCCCGGCCATCAGGCCAGTCCCGTGCCATGCCAGAGGCCAAGAGCAAAGGAGAGACCGGCTTGTCAAACAGGAAGTGGTCATCAATCAGCTGCTGTTGCTCAGCTTCTGTCATGTTTTTCAGAGCATAGTACTTCCCATTCAGATCCCCTTCCAGGCTAGCCAAAGCTGTAAAGAAAACACATTAGGTCCCTTGCAGGATTTGTTGATCATTGTACCAAGATAACAACAATATTCAGCTTTGCTAACCAACCAATATGAGATTCATACATAACATAACCTAAAGAAGTTATAGTTTAGAGCTTCAGATTATGTATTAAAATACGGAGGGGTGGGGGTGTATATTCACCCCCATACGTTAGAATATAAATTTTGGTAATGCTATAAAGTCACTTCAACTAGATAATGTTGGAGTTTTATTTGCAACCTTCCATGCTGTCTATAGTTTATGTGACCAGGAATTTTCTGGCCTGGGATGATTGTTTATCCAGGCACTAACCGATCTTTCCTTCCAGCCTTTGAAGGAATCACTGCTGAGTGAGTGGTTCTTTTCCATCTCCTTTTTTTTTGGTTGGAAGCGGTGTTTGTTTGCTGTTGATCTGTTCATTTGGTTGCTAATATGTGTGCAGTAATGAAAGCAGCATACACAAGTCTGTAACTTAAAATATAAGTAAAGAAATGTTTTTTGTTCTTTCTCCTACAAATGTCTCAGGGTGAGTTACTGAGACTTCCAAGTGCCAGTTAAAGAGAAAGGGGTGGAACTCTGGGGACTTTGAAGCTATTTTCCTCCACGAGTCTCTGCACATCTACTGTGAAGCAAACCAAATTTTACCAGAAATTCAAAACTCTGCAACAGGTATAGCTGTGGGCCTCAGCTTGCTTTAATTTGTTCCTGTAGACAACATAGGGTGTTGTTAATACTCTTTTTCCCCCACTGTCCACAGCATAGCCAACTAGGAGTTAAGGGGGGGGGGGAAGCAAGCTTATCCTTTTTTTGTGGCTGCATAAATCATCCCCAATGGTTGGAACCTAATAAAATAGTGCTTGTTTGCTGCTGTCACTTTCACAATCAAAGGTGGTGGAGGAGAGATCCTTGGGATTCAGCCAAGACTTACATGCAAACATGTAACAGAACTATTATTGCTCAGCATGATGATGATTCCACCATCTGGAAAGGGCATACCTTTAAGAAGAAAAGACTGTTGATTCCAACAGGAGATTGCCTCAGTCTGCACCTTCCTGCAAATTAACTAATTTTTGTTTTGCATCTGGTCAATTGGAAGACACCCTTGTTTTGTTTGTGTCTATTAGGTTTCAGGTGCTGAGTTCCAGAAGTAGCAGTTGCTTTAACTGAACCTCGGATGTAAAAATGCATTTTTCCAAAAGTGCCTTGGATCTTGCAGACATCAAATCCTTGCCTTGTAACTGATAATAGGTAACTTAATATAACTCTTGAGACAAGCTGGTCAGTCCCAAATATCTTATCTAAATCTCATGTTATTAGCTTCGGAGGTGGGGGAGAAACTTGCACTGAATAAATTGCAAATATCCTTCCATTTGGGTCAATTTACTCACAATAAGAACATGACATTTCCGTTCTTCAGCATCAGTTTTACAAGATCAGTGTCTCAAATCTCAAGAGACTATTCAAGCTAGATAGGAACTACTCTGAAAGTCTCTTTCACTGTGGATTCTACAATGAAACTGGATTGTTGGGAGTGTCTTGGCACGTGGGTTAAGTGGAACTAATGTCCAGGGACAAGACCAACATTTGATCTATTCCACACTCTTCTTTGACCATTAAATGACCTGGTTATTATCAAGGCTACAACCAGATTCTCTCATTTGGGCCATAGACCTTTACGCGGACAGTATTGCTGAAACTTACCTTCCACAGAAAGCTTTTCAATGGCGCGTCTCTCTCCTCTGCTGCAATGAGGGGGAAGGCAGAAGCCACGGATGCTCCTACCAGTTCGGACTCGTGAACTTAGGACGTAATTGGGATCCAGATCGTCACCACCCTACAAGACAGAAGAAACACCTTAAATAGAGTGGTCCTCACCCGACTAGATAGGCGGTATATTAATAATAATAATAATAATAATAATAATAATAATAATAATAATAATAATAATCATCATCATCATCATCATCATCATCATCATCATCATCATCTCGGTCCATCTGCAGATGATTCAAGTTTTGCTCCGAGTTATCTGCTCATGAAAAGTTCAGCATTTAAGGAGGGCACCCAAACATTATTTGCATTAGCAACCTATTAA